GTACTGTACTAGGTATGTGTACATTGCTATATATCACAAGTATATTGTTTTTTTCCTTTTACTTATCTTTCTTTATTCTATCTCACCCTGTCCTGTTATGAGCTGCAGTAATGTTCAAATTTCCCCACTGTGGTATCAATAAAGTTTTATCTTATCTTACCTTACCTTACCTTACTTTACCTTATCTTATCTTATCTTATCTTATCTTAAATAAAACAAATGGTCACAATTATTAGAAACATGATTAAAGAAATGTGCACCCACTGTTTGAGCCCAATAATTCTGACCCTGAGGCAAAGTTTTTAGAAACAAAGTGCAAATGACACGTGAACAATATCTTTTTAGCAATTTCTTCAAGATATTTCCATAAAGACCAATGTAGCAGACCAACTGAGCCTGCAGCCTCAGCATGAATCAGCACGAGTGCCAAAACAGAATTTAGAAAATGGCAACAACTACATGTAAACAACTGTAACTTTTGAGTGTTGTTTATTCCAGAGAAAGCTACAGTGGTTAAATACAGACACATTAATAAGGAGCGAAACATTGAACACCCCTCAAAGTATCTAAAAGAAGGGGAAAATGTTACTTTTTGCTAAGATTCAAAAGTATTCCAAAAGAGTGTTGAGTCACTTCCAAGTCTTGGGATCTAAAATTAAATTTTGAATTAATAGGTCTCACTTAAGTTTTTTCACTTTTCAGTAGCAGTCAAAGATCTCATTTCAGGGAGATTTTTATAACTTACTCTCTTCTCTAAAACATTTAGGGTAAGAGCTGCAGACCTAAAAATAGAAGTCCAGTGTCAACATTCTCGTGCTCTATAAACAACCAAGATCCAATTAGCTGAGCACTTTCTTTCCTTGCCAAACCTTTATACGTTCTTGTGTCCATATCTAATCAAGGTGTGAAAAAGAAGTACTCTGCTGAGTGTGTCCTTCACATATTATTGTTAGGAATTCCAGCTAGTCAATGTCCCGATAAAAACTTGAGGTTTATTTATGCTCGTGCTATTTTCCAAGTGTTGATGTGATGTCCAGCTTTAGAGCCAATCACTTCACAAGTCTCTGAATGTAATAAGCCAAGATGGTGCTTTTGGATGTTTTATTTTTTTTTTTTGCATCATTGATCTTTCAACATCAGTGAACTGACCATTGGCGAGAAAGAAATGACTAAGCAATCATCACCAATATAACTGTCAGATATTGCTTTTTGTGTGAAGCATTACGTCTTCACATCGTCTCTGTTTCTCTTCCATCTTTTCTTTTTKTCTCTCTCTGCCTCCCTGTTCCTGTCTTCCTCCTTACAAAGGCAGCTCAAATCACCACAGGTTGTCCCTACGCACTTTGGTTTGGACACTCGGTTTATAGCATACACTCAAAGGATTTACAACAAGGTCTCAATTCGAATAAATGTTTGGAATTGCAATGCATCAGCTCGCATTACTTGCTCCACATTTTAAAAAGTGCTTTTGGAAGGGTTCAGACAGTGGCCTGTTCAGTTTTATTACAGTTGATTCAGTTTATTTTAAGCAGTAAAACTTTATGATTTTTGTCAGGTGTGGTTTTTGCCAAGGAGCGGAGTTCTTGTGGGTCTCTGAAGTGAAACAGTCTAGGACAAGATCAAGATACAATTGTGAAATTTAATCTTTTTATGTCTGGGGACAAACTTTAGATGACAGAGAACCTAAAAGCAGAGAATACACTTTGGGAGAAAGGTTAGATGTTGTGGTAAGAGCACTAATGCACAACAGAGTTTATTGTTTTGTTTTTGTTTTTTTACTGAGATTGTGAGTGCAAAATGATGGATTAGTGGTTAGCACTGTTGCCTCACAGCTAGAAGSTCCTGGGTTCAAGCACCAAGTTGGACCTGAGRTCTTTCTGCATGGAATTTGATGTGGGGTTTCTCTGAGTACTCTGGTTTCCTCCCACACTCTAGAAACATGCGTGTTAGGCTGCCTTTAGGCCCAGATCTCCCATGAAAAGACATATTTGATCTCAGTGGGATTTGCCTGGTTATAAGTTAATAATAAACAAACATTATAATAATACATATTTGAACCTTAAAGAGACACTTTCTCAATGTTTGTTGCTTTAAAGATAATAAACCCAAGACCTTCCCAATAAATGTACTTCTGCTGGTGATGTAAGGTGCTTTCTAACTAAACTGTTATAACTGTTAATCCAACGATGGAGCAATTACAGTATATAGCTGTACGTGTTGGCTTTTACACCAGGAGGAACCTGTGATTGTACAACACTTGATTAATGTGTTAAAGTGGCATTTGAATGACTGCTACAAATGTTAAAAAGAAGGGGCACCACCAAGTGGGCATGCCCCCTCTAAAAGTTGGTCTGCCCCCCTCCTAATTTTTATCCTTTTGAATCCCAATATTTTTGCTTTGGGCTCATTTTTCACTTCCCCAAGCTATTTAGGAATAGTAGAAACTCAAGTATAAAAATAAACTTTTTTTATTAGGAGTTAAAAATATCAATAAATATTCTGTTTAAAATATATTTTAAAAAAAGCTTCAAATCTAGTCCCCCTGAATGAGAACAACTGGTCTAAAACCAATGTCCTCAACAATGAGATAAAGGGTCTCAGGAGTTTTTTGTAATTATAAATAATTATATAATAAACATTAGATTAGGAGGCCCTGTGGCACAGTTGTTAGGGATGTTGCCTCTCACCAAGAAGGTTCTAGATTAAATCCCAGCCTGCAACATTTCAGGGTTGTGTTTACATGTCCTAACTGTGCATGAGTGGGTTTTCACSACTCCAGTTCCCTCTCACAAACTAAAAACATGCATCATAGRAAAAAAACMAWTYYWAYTYYWAAARRAMYTTWKTKRWYCCMRRRGGAAGGTACACACTAAACATCCAAAACCGATGCTTGTTTTGCTTGCGTAAAAAAATGTTCAAGTCTATGTGACTTATATTCCAAAGTATCATGTGACTGAGAGCAGCTACATCTTAGTAACCATATAATTCTGGACTATAAATTACTATAGCAGTTAGCCTGCATTAATTTAAAGGTGACTTGTGTGTGTCACTGTTGAGCCACTGATCAGTATGGGGGTGTTATGTGTAGAGTCAAAAAGAACTGAAGTCTTAGATCTTGATGAATTTGTGGGCAGATTTGGTAAAAGGCAGAACAGATGAATAAATCTTTATTAAAACTAATATGGTGTGAAAAAACAAATAAAGGAATAGTTTGGGATAATGCTAATAAATGTACATAATATTTGTGTTTTTTGCTTTTTAAAATTTTTTAATTTCCAGTTTTGTTTAAAAAATATTTAGAAGAGGTGGTGGCTTTAAAATTAAGGAAGCTTGCTCCTTATAATATTTTTTAAACGTATCCCTTCGAATTAAACATGTAYGTTTGCATTTTTTTGAGAAGAGGACTAATAGCCCATATCTGTCACAACACTTTTTTGAAGGATAATTGTTTCCCTTACACAAAATAAATTACATTTGGCATACAATTTACTAAAGCTGAGAGCTAATGACAAATGTACAATTTATTTGTTTTTGGAGTGGCTGATCAATAAAAACRTAGAAAATCATAAAAATGACTTCTTGCATTCAGTTTTCAACAACTAAGCTCAAAGACAGCAGAAGTATAAATTAGCTGCTTCACTGAGTTCTGTGAGTTGTTAGGACAGAAACAGAAAGGGTGATTAACTATTTTGTCCTATTAAAATATTAAGCTTTAAGGCCTTGTGAGTGTTTAAGAATTGGACAGAAATTGTTTTTCACTGAGTTTCTAAAAAGAAAAAAAGGAAAAGGAAAAGTTGCAGTATGAAGTAAGTGAATGKGATTTAAATGCTTGACTACTCAGTTGCCTTGCTACCACTCACAATGATTTGCACCAAATATCTCCCTGCAGTTAACAGTATGATCTTGCATCGAAGCTGAAAAAACTGCAACTCTGAGAGTTCTCATAAATATTACTTTAGATGTTATATAATAAAAAGCTTCAACTTTTTCTTCCTCCAGTGTTTCTTTTGCATAATTTCTTTGTTTTTGTAATTGACAGGTTTTACATCCCATCCAACAGAGTGAGGCACATCCCAGCACACCAACGACATGTCTTGGCTCTGTGTTTTTATGAACCCTCTGAGGTGCAATAACTTCACAGTCCAGATTGTACTAATGACTCTGCACTGATGGCCAATAGCCTCAAAGGGCCTTATCATGGGGGGAACCAGCATGGAAAATAAAGTTAGAGCTGTGGGAAACACTGGGTAGTGAGAACTTTGCTGAGGGAAAAGTGTGGTTCCGTACATAAGAAAAACAAAAGCAAGAGTAGCACCCTGCAAGGAAACAGAGAACATAGCTGCTGTTTTTCCAGATTAGATGTCTGTTCAAGGACTTGAGGATTTGACCCTTCGACCTCTCCTGGTCGTGAGAACTCCCTCCGCAGCCATGTGTCCTTAAGACCCTCACTACGACACGCACAGGGGCCCCAGCACGTACACCCGCACTCCCCATAACGCTCAGTGCAAAAAACAACAAAACCTAAAGACAGGAGCAGCGTCCTCGAAAGAATCAGTGAAATTATCATACCTTTCCACCAGTGCATGGTGGATTTGTGCCAAGTATGCAGCCTACGAGGCACCCGCCGCCATCTCCCACCCCACTTAAAATAAGTCAACCAAGTATGTTTTGGTTGGGGTTTCATACCTGCCTGCTTCTCATTCACACTCAGTTTGAAGTTTTTCATAAAGACAAAAGCCCAGTCAAGCCAATGATGGCAGCAGCAGGGGAGGAAACCTATCTGCACTTGAGTGCACCTTTTGTTGGAATTATTTAATCCTTAAAAGCTCTTGGAAAAAATGTCCGTCTTACTTTGGAAAATTGGACTCTCGAACAAAACAAGGAAGGATGAAAAGTGGAGGAGCTAAACTAAAGCTGTCTTAATTCCTCCGGTGTTCTGTTGGAAATCTCTTCCCGTTCTCAGAGCAAAACATGACATTGCGCCTCGCTGAGCGGTTTACCTCTAGTTTCCACACGATGTAGGCGTGAGGGCAGGTCGGCTGCACCTTCTTTTGGAGCCACCTCCGTGGGGAGAAGAGTGTGCTGGTGCTCCCAGTGGGCACAGCCCCAGGTCCCCTCACCATGAACGGTAAATCCCCGGCTGTATTCCTTTTCGGACGCTTCACCAGATCATAGTCAAATTGGAAATTGGAGGATGGCGAGATCTCTGAAGGTATGGAAGGAGAGGACACCGAGGGCGAAATGGGTTCTGTCAGAGTCGGGATCTTGGTGCGTAAAGCGGGTTTGGCACTGTGGTGCTCCAAAGGTGCACCTGCGTCTACCGTGGAGAGCTGCACCCCGCTCGCCCCGTCCGTCCCGGTGTCACAGTGTCTTATGATGGCTGGGTCCAAGCTGCGGGTTTGGCGTAGCCTCCGCTTGGCTATGGCTTTGGAGGCAGGAGACGAGCAGGAGAAGACGCTGTTGAGGAGTCCTTGAGCGGCCGACATGTCTCCTTGATTTAGATCAGCTCAGCAAAAACACAAGTATGGAGTCCAGCGGTGCCACGAGGAAAAACAGGAGGTGCAAGTCCATGGAGAACTGGGAAGTGCAGCATCTGGCTAGAATCTTCGCATAAAGTGGAGACAGATCAAGCCTGTTGTTCCTCTCCTCTGAACCTCTGTGCGTTGATGCATAGAGTGGAGCAAGAAGACCAGCGAGTCAGCGTATGATGAGGGGGGTGGAGTTCAGGCAGCAGCAGTTTAGCTCAAGAGCCAGTTTAGACATTATTTTCCACAACTCCTTTGGCTTTGGATCAGTTTGTACCAATGTCCAGAACATCTATATCCTCATCCATTAAATCCCATCCAGAAAATCACCGTTCTACATCATTTTTTTAAATTTCCTGAGCTGCCATAGTCGTCTACATCTTCTGCAAAGTTTCATCTTTAATAAGAACAAGAGGCAAGAACAGATGCAATAATCACAAAGACAGTAGGTCAAGCACACGATTTAGCCTGGATGAAAATAGAGGTTTTAATCCTCCTCTGCCATTAATCCATCTGTCTGGAAACAATAGGCCTATCAGTGAAGCCTGCTGTGTTCTATTATTAGCCAGACATTCATCGAGCCTCGGGATTATTAGCTCTTACTTCTCTTAATGCACCTGTGCATAACTGCCAGACGTTAGTTTATACAGATGTTCATCGGTTTCAGCGTGTCGCTTCGCTGGCTGCATGGGAAAGAGACGCAGAGGCTGAGGGAGCAGAATCATGTGTGGCCCCTTGTGTGTGAAAGTATGAGGGGAAAAATGAAAAGCGACAGCAGGATCCCCGTGAGGAGGCCGTTTGATAAAGTAGCTACGAAGTCACACTGCAGACTCTACTCACACACAAACAACATGACATGACAGGACGCTGATAACGACCAAGATAGATTTGACCTGTCTAAAAACAGTATGAAGGTGGGGTGGGGTGGGGGGTGCAAAGTGAGTCAACACAAGGCAATGATACATGACTGTACGTAAACGCTGACATTTAAAAGGAAAGTCTCAATATTCTGGTGCATTCTGGGTCAAATGAAGTGGTAKAAGTCAATCAGTAGGAAATAACTGAACCAGTCTTGTTCAGTGTTAAAATCCCGCTGTCCATATTTGGTGAACAATAACAGAGCAGCCTTGCCTGAAACCTTTTCAAGCAAAAATGATTCTGCTGTGTGGGTTTCTRCAGGGGATCATTTCATTGTTCAAGCCTTTCAGACAGATGGAGGTCTAAAAAAAAAAATCAAGTTGCAAAGTCCAAGAACAGATCAAACCAAACGAACTAAAGCCCACATCTGAAGTCTTGAACAATACACCAGTGATACAGAATCTGTTTTTATTTAAACAACATGCTGGTCTTTTGATAGCAGACAATATATGACTTTGTTCTCTTACTCCCAGAATCTATTCAAATCTGTTTAGAGAGAATTAATTTCACGCCAGAGTTTTAGACAAAGATCATCTTATGTTGAGAACTGATGAAGTTGTAGCGGTTTTGATTAAAGCTTGAAAACATTAYGTGCCATCTCATGTCTCGCTTTGTGCTATTAAAGACTCAGCTTCAACCACATCAAATTTTACCCTAATATCTTTTCAGTGGACAGAGCTAWTTTTTGTGCTGGCTAATGTTACGCTATGGTGGCCATCTTTAATTAAAATGATTCCAAATGGTAATCAGTTGTACATGTATCATTAATCTAAGAAAGCAAGAATAAAAAATATATTAGAACTATTCAAAATACCACAAAATATAGTACATGCAATGATTCCTAGTCAGCATGGTGGATTAGTGGTTGCCTCACAACACCTGGGCTCAAGCACCAGGTTGAGCCTGGACTCTTTTCTGGGTGGAGTTTGCATGCTCTCCTAGTGTTTGTGTGGTGTTTCTCCAGGTATTTTGTAAAAAAATAACAGTCCACAATCATCATTCACTCAGATTTTCATGTTATGATAAATGATCACATTATTTATTGACTGCGTCGAAAAAATATTAAAGATATTTTAAATTGAAATAAAAATATGAAGTAATACAATATAAC